TTGGGGCTGGCTCAGCAAGGCTCTCTGAACGGCTGACAGCTGGCGGCTGGCTGCTGATGTGCCAGCAAAGGCTGATGTGCAAGCAAAGGCTGTTGTGCAAGCAAAGCCAGGCGCAGGCGGCGCTTAGGGTTGGTCTTTGGTCTTTGGGGCGGGGCGCAAGGGCCGTGGCGTGGGGCGCAAGGTGCCGGTGCGCGGGAAGGGCGTCTGGGGTGACGGCAAGAGCGGGTGCCGGACTCAAGGGCAGCGGAGGGGATTGGGGCCCATAACCTGTTGACGGGAGGTATTTACAAAGGCAGCAAGAGTAGTAAATTCGCACTAGAGGCGGCGTTAAATAGATCTGGGGTGGAGGAGCATATTCCCGGCATATACTTGGGATATTCCTGATACGATGCGGGTACGATGCGGCACAAAGGCATCATGGTATCGGTGAGCATAATGGCTGGGTCAGGTGCACGAAAGGGAGTGGCACAAGTGTCGATCAACTGGGAATGGGGTGGGGAAACACAATTGTGCGGTGTCTGGGGCGGGAAAGGCGGGAATGAGGGTATCAATGCAGCGGATGTGTAGACTGGACACGTGGCATTGTCACAGCTCAACAGCTCTGTTCATCAAGCCCGGCGCCGACCCCATCTACCTACTCATCTATGTCGACGACATACTGGTCGTTTCGATCGACGTCGCCGAGCTGCAGTCCACCAAGGTCCAGATCCTGGCTGCCTTCGACGCCCGCGACCTGGGCCCTGTCACCTACTTCTTGGGCATGGAGATCATCCGCGACCGCGCCAACCGGACCATCAAGCTGGCACAGAAGCGCATGACGGCTGACCTGCTGACCAAGTTCAACCTGGGTGAGGCCAAGCCCCTGAGCACCCCACTCAGCACCGCCACAAAGCTCACCAGCGTCGGCGAGCCCATGGACGCACGCACCCCCGGCTATGCTCAGCTGGTTGGGAGCCTGCTGTATCTGTCAGTCTGCACACGCCCCGACATCGCCCAAGCCGTGGGAGCTCTCGCCCGCTACATGTCCAAGCCCAGCCTCGCCCACTGGCAGGCAGCCAAGGGCGTGCTGCGCTACCTGGCGGGCACCGCCAACTACGGCATCACCTTTGGCGCTGGCGGCCCCGGGCTGGAGGCCTACTGCGACGCAGACTACGCCGGCGACATCGACACCCGGCGCTCCACCACCGCCTACGTCTTCATCCTCAACGGCGGTGCCATCAGCTGGTCCAGCCGCCTGCAGCAGACCGTGGCGGCCTCCACCACCGAGGCCGAGTACATGGCGGCAGCCGCCGCCATCAAGGAGGCCCTCTGGCTGCGCACCCTGTTGGGCAACCTTGGCCAGCCCATCCAAACCATCCCCATGCTGGCTGATAGCCAGGGCGCCATCAAGCGTGGG